CACACACACACACACACACACACACAGAGTGCTGTCTGTAGTTTTACTCTCAGTCGTTCTAGAAGGGGCATTTGGGGAGAAACATAGAGCTGTTTTAATGACAAATATATTTTCATTTTCCTTAGTTGACAAAAAAATACTCAAGACTCTCGCTTCCTACTATGCTTTTTCTACTATGATGATGATGATGATAGTGATGATGATGATGATAATGAATGTTCAAGTTCTTGATGAAGCCCCAAATGACGAAACGCCGAATTTATTATAATTCAGGAATGTCACAAAAATTTTTGCTTTTCTTTTTGTTCGTACAACAATGATGATGATGAAGGTGTAATGATGATTATGGTGATAATGATGATGATGATGATGATGATGATGATTATGATGATGATGATGATGATGATGACGACGGAGATAAAGATGATAATAATGACAATGATGCTGATGATACTGATGATGCTGATTTCGAAGATGATGATGACAACAATATGATGATGACAAAGAAGAAGATGACAATGATATTGATCATTCTTTCCCCTCCCAGGTACGAAGAGTTCCACAAGCAGCAGTCAGAGATCGTGTGCACGTATCCAGACATGGTACAGGAGGAGCTGGACAGCTACGACGGCAGCATCTGTCGATTCTTTACCGTCACCCGCAAGATGGTGAGGCCGACCGATCTGGTGAGTACTGAACATATGTGCGTGTGTGTTTGTGTTTGTGTGTGTGTGTGTGTGTGTTTGTCATTTGTCAAGCCGTGCTGTGCTCACACACTTTCTCTCACTTTGCTTCCTCAGAACTACAAAGCTTTATCTGCTCAGTACCTAGTTTTCAGAACTTTTACATTAAAAAATTCTGAGTTTCACTATAATTATTTCAAGCTTTTTTAAAATACAATTCTTTAAATTCATTGATAGCGTCTCAGAATGATCTTATGATTTTGATAGAGCTGATGGTGCATATGATTTCTGACTTCATAGTCTTAGTAACACAAAACGACCAAAAATGTCAGATAGAACTTTGTAACTCTGAGTTGGCAACTTGTTTCTTTTCTGTATAATGGTGTGTGGTTGTGGACAAAATGAGGGCATCATTTACATCATAGGCCGGCTGTTCTGATGTCTTCGATGGCCCCAAATTTTGAATTTGTGTCAGGACACGGTGGAATCAGGTGCTTATCAACTTTTAGTAGTAGTAGTACAGGGTTTTACGGCGTTCGCAACTGCGTAAGGTCATATGAGCGCGCAGTCAACTTTTAGGCATACAGAGCTATTGGTACATATCTTAAAGATTGTTCATTTGTCTTGTTTTTGGTAGGGGGGTCACCTGGTTTCAGAAGTAACAATAGAGAGAAAATAGTCACAAGAGTTTGGGGTGACTCATGGCTTGAGTGTCCTTGAAAACTGCAATTTGACCTATTTTGTGACTTAGGTTTACGTTTTTCAGAAAAATCCACCAAAAATATTTTTTTTGAATAGATGTTAAAGGTGTTCAGCCAAGAGAAACAAAAATATGGATAAAAATTGCTCAAGGGGTGGGGAAATGTCAGTTTCTTCTATTTCACTATTTTTAACAAGCGCCTGATTTCACCTCAATGCCACGCATCTCTTTTCTTTAGGACAATAGATGTTTGATAGGAAAGAAGAAGCAAACCACACCAGAGCACTCACCAACCACCCTCTCACACACTCTCTCACTGTCTCCTCCTTGAAATGGTGTGTGATTTGTGAACAAAAACAGGGTATATATCGTTGGCCAGTTATTCTGATGTACAAAGCCCCAAATTTCTATATTCAATTTCAATTTTTGATCTATCTCATTGGCTGCACGTGCTCTCAAAATACTTTGTCAAAAAATTAAATCTAAATTTTAATGTTGAAAAGGGCAAGAAAAGATGCAGTAAGTCGGTACCATTATAAAAAGAATGAAACAATACTCTGTCTTAAAAACTTGTTCTTTGTAGGTCTCATTTGAACATCTTGCTAGCGAATGTATAACCTGTTTTCTTGTCGGTTTTATTTCACCGTCTCTGTCATTTTATTTATTTATGACGTATTTTGATTTTGTTGTGTTATGGATGGCTTGGGCTATTGCAGTATTTTTTCCTTGTTTGGTATGCATTGTCTTCCTTTAAGGCTCTATCTCAACTGGTACTCACACATTTGTACTAAATTATTATTTATTGACTACTCTCTCTGCTCACTGTGTGCACTTTATCTACCTTTCTTCTCACAAACTCGTTCCTGTCTGTCTGTCTGTCTGTCTGTCCGTCCGTCCGTCCGTCTGTTTGTCTGTCTGTCTGTCTGTCTGTCTGTCTGTCTGTCTGTCTGT